CAAATTCAAAGAATGTGTTTCCTCTCCTGCGAATGCACAAAAAGCACCCGCGGCACGGAATTCACACAAAACCTCTCGCAGCGAACCGCGTCCTCGCGTACTGACGAGCACCGACCGGGGCGCGCTTGGCACCTACTAATTCCACTCCGACTCGACGCAAGAACGCGCTCACCTCCGAATGCGTCGGCCGACGGCCTGGACGGCGTGCGCTGGACGGCGAAAGGGGCACCGGACAGGAACGTGAACGGGCAGGTTTGGCGGGACTGGATAAGGGATAGAAATGGTGGACGGAGGATGGGGATGAGGTGGGACGGATGGGACGGAGATGGGGACGGAGGAGGGGACGGAGGATGGGGACGGAGATGGGGAGATGTCGCGAGAGATGGGGACGAGGATGGGGGAACGGAGGATGGCGGAACGGAGGGTGGGACGGAGGGTGGGGACGGAGATGGGGGACGAGAGATGGGGGAACGGAGGATGGGACGGAGGACTGGGGGACGGAGGATGGGGGAGGCATGGGGGACGAGGTGGGCGAGACGGATGGGCATGGGACCGAGGATGGGGGAAGGAGGACGGAGAACGGGGATAAATAGAATGAAGATCTAGAGATGACACAATCTGGGACAGTGAATCAGAGATTCAGAATGGAAAATGAACTGGAAAAGAAAGCCTAAACCCGAAGTGAGCAGATAATACTAGAGATAACAATTATATTAATATTCTGAAGTATAATATGAAGATTTTACGTATTCTTAAATTTGCAGTCCAAAAACTATATTAGAACCACTCTGCCTCATAGCATCCGCGAAGAAAATTCTGCTTTCCATGATAGTTATTTGCACACCGTGACAAACAAAAACAAAATTCAGTGTATAAATTTAGTAATAATAAAAATAATAGTTCTTCTTCCCAAATGGCCCAAACATACGAGGACGAAATGGAGAAGACGAAACAGAAAAACCTGAGGCAGCCGTCCTGGTGATGGAGGGTAGGAGGTAGGGAACCTAGAGAAATGGGATAGAGGAAATTGAACAGGTGACACGGGGGCATAAAATTTTCGCGATCGAGGACAAGGGAACGGGTGTCATAGGGACATGATGGACATTTCCTCTACGGGGGACATAAGACACGAACGCAGGCGGTCGAATCGGGAGCGGGCGGAGGTCGGAGTACGGGACCGCGGAAGGCGCGTATCCAGAGCAGCGCAGCTCGGCGGGGAGGGAAGCCGTTAGACGGCGGCGACGCGCAGCAATTACGCGCAGCCAGGCATCTGCGCCGCGCGGCGCCTCGTGGACAGCCAGCGAGCGGCGGCGGCGGCGGCGTCCGGCGCGAAGAGCGGACAGACAGGCGAGTGTCGCGATGCCGCCGCCACCGCCCGCACGCGCCGCCGCTCGCCGCCCGTTACCTCCCGCCCGCCGACTAACGGACCTCGCGCGCTGCTGGGGCGCCCTCTTCTAGCCGGAGGCTGGCACTCCACATCCACGCCGAGTGTAGTATACGGGCGCTTCTCACATTAAACGATCATTTCAAATGGTTCTCATTCGAAATCTGACGACGCATTACTACATTAATACGAACGACGTTTAACATTTTTATTGTCTTTCGAGTATTTTGTACGTCTACTTCCCACACGGACACACTGAGTGTAGTGTAGGGCGCTTCTCGCATTAAACGAGCAACATTTCAAACTGACACCATTTTGAATTTGGCGAAGCATTACTGATAATGACGTTTCACAATCTTATCATATTTAGAGTAGTCTGTTTGGTTTGAAAATATTGTGGAGTTGCGGCAGAGGCTGCCACTACGTCTCGCACGCACACACCGAGTGTACGTATGGACGTTTCTCGAAATTAAACGAGCAACATTTCAAATGGTTTTTGTTCTAAATTTGGCGAAGCACTCCCGATAATTACTTTTGATGTTCTTATCGTGCTAGATTTGTTTGATAAGAAAATATTGTGATATGATAGAGTATTTTCTACGGTTTCTATGATTCCTTAAAATGAGCAACACTTCTTTCTAAATTTGACGAAAACTGATAATGACATTTTTATCGTATTTAGAACGTTTCGTAAGAAAATATCGTGGAGCTGCCCCAGATTATACTCTGCTTCTCGCACGCACACACCAAGTATAGTTCAAGGGTGCGTCTAGCATTAAACGAGGAACATTTCAAAGGTTTCTCACTCTGAATATGGCGGAGCAGTACTGATAACGAAGTTTGACATTCTTATCGTTTTCAGATTTGCTTAGTAAGAAAATATTGTGGAGCTGCGGTAGACTTTTCTCCACGGCGGCAGCTGCTACTAGGTGCGCCTTGCGTGCAGGGAACGATCTGCTTTTAAGTTTGCAATAGAACGGAATGCGATACGAATCGTGGACACTTTAATTCACGTGCGTTCCTACCCATTGTGGGCGCTTCTGGCGTTAAACGAGCAAAATTTCAACGGTCCTCATTCTAAATTTGGCGAAGTATAACTGAAGTATTACATTTTTATTGCATTTGACATTCTTATCGTCATTGGTAAGAAAATACACTTTAATTTACTCATACTCTACTTCTTGTTCGCGAAACAAGAAAATACAACCGCGTTTCTTCTCTATTCTACTGTGAGTAGCAACATAAAATACAGATATAGAAGAAATATTGATGTGATTGTAGATTTACGTATATTACAACTTATTCACTTTATTTTCTAAAAAGTGAAATAAAATTGAAACCCACATCTGATTTAGCTCTTAGCATCTACTGCGAGAAAGATTTGATAGCTTCATATAAGAATCACAAAAAGTGGTTATCGAGAAACTTCTCATTGGATTAGATTAAAACGTTTATTAATACACATTAATTAAATCTACTTCATTGAAATATTTTTGTTACTTTTAATAAATATTATGCTTCATCTTTTATTAGTCATTCTTTGTGAATAGACAATATATATTACATATTCAAGCCTACCGACGTGCCAAAGTATTCTCTGCAACGATAACTTCTCCGTTTCTCACATCTCACAGGCAGACAAATTGGAAGAATGTACCATTATCTGTTTAACATTTACCTAAGTATCGTGGGTTGGGGAAGTATTTTTATCGTACGTCATACAAGATTGTGATTTTAGTGAACCATGTATTTTAATTTTCTAACAAAAACACCCAATATTCATAGTGTTAGTGACAGGAACAACGAATTCTACAAGCTCAACTCACAGAAATAGAATAATAAGTTTCTTGCAAATCAAATGTTCCGTTTAGCGCAGAAACACAAGGATGTGGTTTAAGCTGTGATTCGCATTATTAATACTGATGAGTCACGTGCATTGTTTGCTAATATATACATCGAGTAACAACATCCTGAACATAGCAACGAATTATTCATCGGCACAACGCATGTTTGTTAAAGCATGGACTTGAGCACTTAGTTATAAACTTTTCTTGGACGTTTTGGGGAACAATTTGGCATATTTCCATATTCTACTCGTATGTAGTTCACAACAAGTATCGTAATTTCACTTTATTTCGATACAAAAGCAGTATTCTCGTTAGACCTAAAGTCAGTAACATTCAATCTTAACAAAATTCAGACTTTAACAATCTTATTGAAATTTAATTAAATATATGAATTTCATCGTCTTACATTATCATATTGCGTCTTATATTTTTTTCAACGTATCTCAAAACCCTTGGTGATATCATTAATAATGAATTATTACATCTTTAACAGTAATGTAAGTTTTTCTCTTTTCTGATTAATTCTCTGAACTGCATTTACAGGCTGTAAATTACAGCATAAATCCGAGGATTATTGACAAGATTCTTTAAGATATCCGTAAAAACCTACTCACACATCGTGGAAGCGTATATCTCTTACTTGTAATCATTACGCCATGAAATGTACTAAAACGACAGGATCATTCACACTTTCCATATTTTGTGACTTCACGAGATTTATTGGGTGACAAAAGCAACATTTCGATTCTTAACATCATGATTATAACTGATACTGAACATTTATATCTAATCTACCTTCCTTAATCAACATTTCTTCAGAATAAGCAGATTTGGGAACATTAGCTTTCGGCACATTTTAAGATTCCCAGAAGAAATTAATTTCGTTATTTTTTTTGTCATTTTTATGTTTAAATCGGGCTTCCTCAACTGCTATTCACAATTCATTATGCATATATAATAAATATTGGCCTCAGTAAGTAGTGATGGAAACATGTATGTACGTTAGGTTTGCAGACTACTTTACGCGATTCACGAACAAAATGTTTCTGCAGATTATACAACGTATGAAACACACATGTGCACTTGATTTTTATACTTCAATATATTCCTGAGGAAAAATAATCATTTTGATACTCAACATACTAAACATGGGAATAGGCACTAAGTTTATGAAATACTATGTTTTCATTTGAGGGGTATCATAATGTCTCTCTACATTGCTCCAGCATAATTTCGACATTTCATGAAAAACGTCTCACGGGAGTAAATTGCTAATGTTGGGTCTTAAATATATATCTCTTATTGGCAAACACGTCATAACACGTAATCAACTCTACATTTCTGCAAAACATACATCGACAGAATCATGTACACTCGTAAGATTTTCACACTCCTTCACGACATTTTTAAAAAGATATCCCTAACCGTCTGGCACCTCTGAGATGGTCCGACCCTCTGCAGAATTTTGACATTTCATAAAGAACTACGCAGGATTATTTTCTGATTCTGAGTCTTAAAAATGTGCCTCTAATTGGCAATTACTACTTTTTAGATGTAATCTCCGTACAGAGCACTATATTTACTCGCAATAATAAGCCACAAAAACACGAACACTCACCAGATTTTCACTTCGTTACGGGATTGTTAGAAATGTAATACATATAACAGCTAGGTGTTTTTTTAAATGAGATTCTGACCCTGGCACCTCAGAGAGGTCCGCGCAGCGCGTTGCTCAACTCACCTCTGAGAGTGGGGGCGCGGGCTCACACGAGGTAGGCCTGCACGCCGCCGGGGTCCATGCACGCCCCCGAGCGCCACGCCTGCGCTTGTTGCTGCTGCTGCTGCATCTGCTGCGCGTGGTGGTGCCGCTGCTGCGCCTGGGCCTGCGCGTGGTGCTGTTGCTGCGCGCTGCGCATCGCGAAGGAGCCCTCCCGCTCCAGCGTGGAGTAGTCCGAGTCGATGGAGGAGTAGATGTGCTCGGAGGCGGGCCTCGAACCCGGGACGCGCGCCCGCTCCCGCCGCGCCGGACGCCGCGGCGCCGCGCCATTGCCGCCGGGTCGACCACAGCGCGTTGTGGTCCACCCCGCCGCCGCCGGGCCCGTCCACCGGGCGCGCCGTGGTGGTAGTTGTGCCTGTGGTGCGGGCGCGGCGACGGGGTGGCGGTGGTGGCGGAGGAGTAGTTGGCTTCGTGTCGTGGGCGCGCGCGGGGGCCGCCGCCGCCGCCGTCGCCGCGTCGGGGTGGTGGTGATGGTGGTGGTGGTGGTTGGCGCGTGGTGGTTGTTCTGCTTGACCGGCGTGCGGGGCAGCGTGGGTGGCTGGAGTACGAAGGGGGCGGCGCCACGTTGTTGGGCAGGCGTCGTTGGTGGTGGCGGGGCGGCCTGGAACAGCGGGTGGCTGTTGATGTGCATGTGCAAATTGGGGACGCCGGGTGCGGCTGCTTGTTCTTCTCCACGTACGATGGTGGTGGCTGCCGTTGCGACACTTGCCCGAGTCCAGCGTGTAGTTGTTGATGTTGCGCCGGTACATCTTGTGGTCGCGGCCGCGGCTGGGCATCGCGTAGCGCAGCCGCTCCCAGAAGCGCTTCTCCCCCCAGCGCACGCGCGCGCCGGTCTTGAGATACGGCCGCAGGTCCGGGTCGAGCTCCGCCTCGGGCAGCGAACCGCCGTCCTCCACCAGCACCAACTTGAACACGCGGCCCTTGAGGGCCTCGTGCAGCGCGGACCGGAACTCAAAGCGCGACCACTCCGTCTGCAGGAAGTTGCGCGACAAGACTAGGATCACTCGGCGACTAGCGTCCGCCGCCTCCACCACCACGGGCGAGCTGCTGTGCTGCAGGAAGGCGTGGTGCGGCAGGTCGCGGTAGTGCAGGCACAGCTGGAACGACGGGTTGCCGTGCTCGAGTTCCGCCACGATCGACTGCAGGACGAACTCCTCGTCTTTCGGGCTGTAGCACACGTAGCCGTCGTACAGTTTCTCGCGGTCCTCCGCCAGGTGCTTCGACGCCCCGCCTTTGAACTCGAACAGGCGAATGCCGTACCGGCTGTACACCCACACCCGCATAGGCTCGCGGAAAACGAACAGTAACACAGTGAGGATAAGCACGAGCACGATGGCTGATAACGTAATCACCACCATAGGCAAGTAATCGGACACTATGATACTCTGAATAACGGACCCGCCGGAGTAGTAATCGCTACACGCGGTATTGTTTAAATCCACCTCCCGCCGCTGCGCCGGTTTCGTCTCGTTGTTGTAGCAGTAGATGTCCTCGCTGTCAATCACCTTCCGCGCGTTGTCCGCCACCCACATCTGCAGCTCCTGCAGGAACTTGCAGCGGCACGACCACAGATTGTTCCCCAACGATATCTCCTCGAGGGCTTGGTTCAGCGTCAGTTGCCACACCGGGAAAGTGACCAGTCGGTTCCCGTCTAATCGCAGGATCTCCAGCGAGTGCAGCGGCAAAAGAGTCACGTTGCCGATGAACGAAATCAGATTGTTCTGAAGATACAACTCCCGCAGATGCGACAGGTGATCGAATTCGAACCCTTTAAGCTCGCGTATTCTGTTATCTTCCAGGTGCAGGATCTGCAGGGCGTTTAGGCCGTTAAAGGTGCGGTTTTGAATCGTTTCGATGCGGCTCGCGTTCACGAAGAGGATCCGTAAATTTTTGCGCCCGATGAAAACGTGATTCTGCAGCTCGCCGAAGTCGTTGCCGTCCAGGTACAGCTCCGTCGCGTCCATGGGAATCCGACGCGGGATCTGGCTGGTGGCGAGCCCCGAGCAGTCGACCACGTTCGTCGTCCACGTCTGGTCGTGATAGCACGAGCAGTTGTTCGGGCACGTCATCTCGCAGTCGCACGCGTCGAAGTCGCAGCAGTGGCACAGGGCGAAGCAGTGCGTCTCGTACGTGCACAGGAAGTTGGAGGGCTTCGCGTCGATCGCCGGCATCGTGGTGAGGCCCCGCGAGTACGTCATGGCGCACATGATATTCGCCAAGTCCATGATGCGCGGGTGGATGCGCAACTGCGTGCGGTTGTTGATCATCTGCAGCCACTCCATGCCGCAGTCGCAGTGGAACGGGTTGCCGCCGATGTAAAACTCGGGCAGCGGTTTCTGCGGCGGCACGTCCGTCAGGCGCAGTGCGTTCAGGTCCAGCGAAACGAGCGAATTCGCGTACATGTCGACGCGCACCAGGTCGGTCTTCTCGATGAACGTGCCGGCCGCCACCGACGTAATGAAGTTGTTATTGATGAACAACAACTCGACGCTGTTCGGGATGGACATTGCGTTTAATTCCGTGATGCGATTGTGACTAGCGTCTAGAGTCTTGATGTGCAAGCTATCCTGCCTGTTGTAATAGTTCCCTAGCAGTTCTATGAAGTTATCGTGAATATCTAACCACTGTAAATTCACTGGCACAAACGCGTAGTCGAACCACACTAAATGGTTATTTGACAAGTTCAACCACAACAGACTAGATATTTTTGAAAAAACGCCGTCGATATCCGTTAGAAAGTTACCGTCGAGTCGGATAGCTTCTATTCGCTCGTTATGTTCAAACGTACCCCGTTCGATCTGCTGAATCTTGTTCTTCGCCAGATTAAGCACTTGTAAACTTGTGAGGTCCCAGAACATATCACTCGTGAGATTACCTATATTGTTACCGATCAGTCTTAGCCCGTTCAACTGCTGCAAGTTGCGGAAGGAACCGTTACGCACAGTGGAAATGTTATTCTCACCCAAGTCGAGAGTTTTTAGGAACGTGAGCTCGTGCAGCGCGTCTGGCACGTCCTGCAACGAGTTCGAACTGAGATCCAGCTCCTTCAAATCAGAGCAGTTACGAAACGCGCGCCCGTCTATGCTAATGAGAAGATTATTGCTAATCGTTAACTTATTCAACACAAACAACCCGTTAAACATCAACGGCCCTATTTCGTGCAGTCTGTTCTCGGAGAGATGCAACGTGTGCAGATTGTAAAGCGGGTGGAAGGCGTTGTCCTCGATGTAGCCGATGGAGTTCTGCCGCAGGTCCAGGATCTGCAGGAAGAAGAGGTCCTTGAAGGTGCGCGCGTCCACGCGCGTCAGCGAATTGTGCGCCAGGTTGAGCACAATCAGCCGAATTAGGCCGACGAAGGTGCCGTCGTCGATCTGGCCGCTGCTCAGCTGGTTGTAGGACAGATCGAGCACGAGAAGCTGCTCCAGGCGGTGGAAGAGGCCGCGGCCCAGCTCGTACAGCGAATTGTTGTGCAGGTCGATCTCCCGCAGCTCCCTGCACGACGCGAACAGGCCCTCGGGCAGCACGTCGAGGCGGTTGTGCGACATGTTGAGCGTGCGCAGGGAGGCGAGCCCGGCGAACGCCTCGCCGCCGATGTCCGTCATCTCGTTGTGCTGCAGGTGCAGCGCCTGCAGGCGCCGCAGGCGCGAGATGCTCGACTCGGAGGGCAGCGCCTGCAGCTGGTTGTGCGAGAGGTCGAGCGAGCGCATGTCGCCGCCGCCGGGCGCATCCTCGGTCCGACCGCTGGGTGGGCCGGGCGGTGGGCGACGGGCGCGGCCGGCCGCACGGGGAAGCGAGACGCCGAGCGCGCGTGCTCCGCAGGCGGTTGCGGCTGGCGTTGAGCGCGCTGAGCAGGTTGGCCAGCGGCAGAAGGGGGGCGGCGTCGGGCAGCGCGCGCAGGTTGTTGTCGGTGAGGTCGAGCGCCTGTCAGCTCCGCAGCCGCGGAAGGTGCCCGGCGCCAGCTCCAGCGCCTTGCCCGACCCCCACTCGGCGTTGCGCGTGTTGAGACGCGAAGCCCGCTCTCTGAGTCGTCCCGCAGCCCGTCGTAAGACCTGGTCGCGGCGGCAGGTGCAGCAGCATTGCCAGTCCTCCCGAGGCTCCTCGAAGGCTGGCTGAGCGCTACGAACGGCGGGGCGGCACGGCCGCTCCCTTCGCCCAACACAGCACCTGGCTAGCACTGCAACGCGGAAGGCGTCTCTCGTGCCCCTCGGCACCTGGCCAGTACCGCGCTCAGCCCGGCGCCGTCGCCGGCGCGCGAGCGTGCGCACCGCGGCACGTCATCCCACACCGCGCCCGTGGCCGGCCCCGAGCGGCCGCCACCGCCATCCGCCGTGTCGTTTCGCTTCCACTGCCCAAGCTGCCTACTGGTCCGGCCGAGATCGCTACTTGGAAGAGCGGCGCCGAGGCCGGGCCGGGGCCCGCGCCCGCCCTCGCCCCCCGCAGTCGTCCGCCGTCTCTGACAACGCGCGCGCCAGCCAGCCACAGGTAGCAGCCAGCCGGCGGCGGCGGTTGGCGCCGCCGGCCCGGGCGCAGCGACGGGCCCTGGCCGGGACCTCCGCGACCCTAGACGCCATCCCCGCGCACGACCGCACGTTGGACGGGTGTTCACGCACCCCATAGCACTAGCGCGGAAACAAAAAAGAAATATCGCCGTCAGGTCCTCTCATCGACACTGTTTCGCCGTTAGCTGCGGCACATAACACTCGGACGACTGACAACGCCGCTACTAGATTTTCTTATCACCAGGTCACGCCACCCGTAGTTCCCCGCTCTACGACGGGCCGCCGGGCCGGCCGCGGAACCACGCACGCGCCTGCCCGGTGCAGACATGACTAGTCTCGGACGCGACCGTCGTCGCGTCGCAGGACGCGAATGGAGCAGCTGTATAGCAAGGGGAAAGTGGGGAAGTCCGCTCGGCGCGAGCGGGCGGGCACACTTCCCCGACGCCACCAGAGCTCTCTCCAGCCACGGCAAGCGCGGGCCACGATGAACTCGCGGCCGAGCGGCGCGCGGGTAACTATTATACCGCTAGGCGTCTGCGCGCCTCTCGCCAGGCCGGCAGCAGCGGCCGCGCGCGCCGTGCGCCGTCGCGGCGGGGCCCATTGAGCAGCGCGGGCGGCCGGACGCAGCCGAGCGGCCGTTTCGGCTCGCCGCCCCCGCCCCCCACCCCCGCGCGGCCGGGGGTGCGCCGCCACCGATGCGCCCCCGATACGCTGACAAATCGGCGACTCCTGACCGTCGCCGTCTGCCGACTTCTCAGCCCCTGCGCTGCCGCCGCCGCGCGACGGTCGAGGTGCGCGGAAAACGAAGCCCTGCCGCAGAAACACTCTTTCTTCTTTCTTTTTTTTTTTTTCATTTACGTAATTAAAGTTAGTGATGGTCAATTGCTTGCTTGTCAATTCATTGTTGACATTTACGTTATGTGTTATTATATTCAACTCCCTGAATTGCAATGCAATTGTAACAAATAAATGTTTTATTCAGAGAGATCATTTGATTATTTTAGGTTGCATAAACCACTTAACTTATTACAAACGTAATTTTCAATACATATACAAGCACGTCATCCTTACATTACATTATTGGTTTTAGTTGGTGCATTACACTAATCACAGGTTGAGCTCAGCTCATACTTATAATAACAGTAGAATTCTATTTTAAACTCTATTTCAGTATTACTTTATATTTCGCAGAACAAGTTGATTTTTTCCAGGAATTTGTTGTTTCACAACAAATCGTTTAGCACTACAGCTGATGAGTTCAACATGCATTTTAGTCAGCTTGTATTTTATTCAGTCCATAAAGTGCATTGCGTTTTGCGGCTAAGGATATCTCCAGCTTATTAGAAATATCTTCAGCTTAGTTTTGTTCGAAGTGTTTAAATAAATTTCACTTGGAAATAATTATCATGTGGCCGATGTGCAAAGTTATTTGGGCATTATATGATTTAAACACACAAACCCAACGAGGGGCACCGTCTTCGTTGGTTTTGTATAATGTACATCTAAAAAAATCGTGGGTTTACATTTGTCAATGTGAATTTATTCTTTCAATAAATCGCATTATTTCGTTTTCATAGTCGTGTGTTCCGAGGGAGAAGAACGCAAGTAAGCATTGTGTAGCATTTTAAGCAGTTCAGGAGCGCCAGTTGGAATATTCGATGGCAAACATATCATCGTGGTATTTAATTACCATCTACGTAAATTTAATTCCGTCATATATCTGTTAAGTGTAATCCAATGTGATCTGTACATTAAAAAAGCTGGGATGTTTTTTTCTTATATTAATTTTAAGGGATAAAATATAATAAAATGATAAATATGCATGGAAGTTTGCTTTCTCGTGTATTTCTCAAAATGTGTTTAGTATTTAAGATGAATCTCGTAGTACTTCTTACTTGCAAGTACTCATCTGTATAACTTACTTTATTACACAGCATTCTCTTGTGCTCAAGGTTTGGAATATTGTATACTGGATTGTTGCAGGAAATTACAGTGAATTGTTTTTTTACGTGTTATTTATGATTTAATAGAAATTTTAAGAGATATCTTAAAAGAAACGAATTATTAAATACCTTTACTAGTTTTACATGAAGTAAATGTTATCTAGATCCTATAAAGCTATATACTCTTCAGGTTCCACTGCTATCTTTTGCTTACAAAAGTAATAATCCATGAATGACGTAAACGTTGTTGTCGTATAACATGCGAATTTCTCAACATATCTACACACTTAAACATATGAACAAAATTATTTACTGCGTTTATATGCATATATTATATTTTATTACTGCGTTAAAATTAGCACTGCGTTTTCATATTTGATGTTTTTTCAGAATACGTGTATTTCACTCATATTATAATAACGTACTCTTCCTGTTTTCAAAAACCTCCAATTAAGTTTCACTCCTGATAACATATAATTCGATTCTCTTAATGATTAAGTTTTCAGCTAACAAGTAAACGTGCTCGACAAAATCTTAAACTGAGAAGTACCTATTTTTAAATTGAGGCGTTGAAAGTAACCATAAAAATAATTTTAGGCCTAAAAGTCACTTGTAGCGTACCCAAGGTTATAGAATGCTATTAATGAGGAAAACATATATAGGACCTGGCACAGTAGGTCAAATTAAATATCAATGTCGCCTGGATCGACCTATTTTAGCTTTTTGTATACTTACACAACGTTCAGTAATTTTCATTTAACTTAGTTTCCACCAAAAATACGCCATTGTATGGATGACAGTGTCTTTAACAGAGATAATTCTGAGACATGTAATGATTATCGGAACATTTCAGAAGAAATAGTTATTCTAATTCAAAATTCTCGATGTTCCTCGATTTCCGAATGGTCCGCAATTAAGTCGCAAACAAAGGAAATGGATGGATAAAAATGGATGGAATATGTCGCCAATCAAATCAAAATATTTGCAGAATCGTCTGCTTGGAGAATGAATAAATTGTCCAGAGGCATTATTTTTTATTCATAAGACCACAGGGCACAAATTGGTTTGCGCGCCCAATTTAACTTCTAATAACAAGCCCTGATAAATGTATCGTGGTATTGACATTAAATTTAATAACATTTTTAGAGGCACATAAAAATTCGAATTTTCGTTTCAGACTGATGCCAATAGAGCTATTTTTGATGGTAGTTCATGCCTTTATTTTGACAACAAAAGAAAGACTCGAATATGATTGAGTGCTGCCCTGAAATTTTGCAGTCTGTTTTCTCGGATTACTCGATGCATTAATATTGTTTCCGTAAAATGAAGTGTGATATTGTATGACCAAAACGAATTATGTCAATCAACAAAAAGTTGTTTGTAGTATTTTCACTACACTGACATAATAGGTAAAAGTAGTGATTTTAGTATTTTGAGGTACTGCTTCGTAATAGATTCGTTTGAAAAGAAGAATGTAGTTTGTATTACATTAAGAAAATGAAAACCGGACATTATTGAATTTTTACGACAGACATACAGTCATACTTCCGTCATTAAAAACGTAAACCCTAATCTCTACGAATTACGTTAGTTGTTCAAGGGCAATTATTTCTCTATCTAAAGTGTTTACACTTCTGTTTTTCAAGACAACATACTTGTTACTATAGTTTTGTATGCTGAGAGTTCTGCTAAGAAAACGTAAAATTTTCAACAATAAAAGGAACTACAAAAACATTATTTAAAACGATTAATGGGAATATTCACTTTTATTAAAGTAAAGGATTTTTTGATAATTACAAAAATAGTGAATGTTTATAAGATATTTAAAAACACTAAAAGTGTTTCCAAGGAATTTCATGCATAGAATTACATCTTGTGTTGTATGTTCCTCTAGATCAAAAGAAACTTGCGTTTTCGTCTATTGAAGCGGGGGCGGCGCCTGGGCGGTGGTGGGCGGGCGGCGCGGGGGTGGCGTGCGGGCGGTGGTAGGGGCGTCTTTTCACGCGCGCGGTTGCTTAATCTTGAATTACGGCCATAAAGCGGCGTGAGGGGCGAGGAGGAGGTGAGGAACGGGGGGAGGGGAGGGGCAGCCCTTGCTTTCGCAAATCTCTCGGCGGCGGGCGGCAAAAGCAAGCAAGCACACCGTGAGGGGATTCACTGACTTGGCGCAGGGGAAGACTCCGCGGCCACCATTCTTTCCTTCTACTCTCCCGAGAGGTTTCATTTGCGATTCTTTCAACACAACCCTCCAATCAAATTACGAACTTGTCTATTTTAAATTAAATTCATTTTATTATGTTGCCACAGTGACACATTGCGCTTATTCAGTAACATTCTTACTTGCATTCATTACTACAATTTTTTTGGACAAAAAATGAAGCCATTCAGTTGCAAATAATGGAAATGACATTTTGTGATTTCGAGTGTTGAATGTAACGCCACGATTTTACACGAAGCGAGTGGCTCGAGTCATAACATACCAGCAAATGTACGCTGCAGTTTGCTGTCCGTCCTTTAAACTTCTTCACAAAAAATGCATGCAAAACTTCTCTCTCTCTGTCTCTCTCTCTCTCTCTCTCTCTCTCTCTCTCTCTCTCTCTCTCTCTCTCTCTCTCTCTCTCTCAGCTGTAAAAGCCAAATGAAATTTGCAGTAATTAAAATGAAAAAATCATGTAAATCGTTAGAGAATTCAAACAATAACGTTTAATGATGTTTTAATATCAATCATTCCCGCGTGTTATGAACGTGCCAATGTGCGATATTAGCCGATTAAAACGTTCCAGGTATTCTTCCTGGCAGACCTTTCTCAAGTTTCCATTCCCCGCAATAACTTTTTTCTTAAAACGCGCGTGGGCAGGCGATCGTGCGTGTGGACGTGCGTGCGTATTGGCACAGAGCGTTCGTTGCGCGCGAGCCTCGCGGAAGGAGGGGGCGGTGACGTATTGATTCGCCGCCGCCGCCGCCGTCGCCGCCGCCGCCTCGCTGCGTCCTCAAAGACGCTCTTCCGCCGGGGCGGTGCGCAGGGCGGCGCGGCGGCGGCGGGAGCGGAGAACCAGTGGGCGGGAAGCCTGCGATCGAAAGACACCGAAGCGGTGCGGCGATCGCTCCTGCAAACGGGCTCACTGGTGCTCTCGGTCGATCTATGGGGAATTCGGGGTGCACAAAGAGGGTTC